TTAAGATAACAAAGTGATTATTTTAGGAATTTTCACATCTACATAGTCTTCTGTGCACATCTTCTCTACAAGAATAGTTTTCCAAATAAAAAGATGGTCAAATATTCTTAGTGAATCTCTACTAACAGAAATTAATTCAAGTGAAACTGCACCTTATTGTCTCTTAATGTTTCATACATTCAATACAATGCCTTATTGTATTGAATGTATGCACTAGAATAGAGACTGTGGTTTGCAGAAAAGAAAATATGGAGTCCATATATAGGAATTGTAGCTGTATGCGTATTTTTGCATGTAAGGAAAAAAATCTTCCCAAGCAACCAAATTTGGAGGTCTAGCTTTTTAATGCAATCTTCAAAAGCAATAAAAAAATTAGCAGCATGTTTTTCAAAATTTATGCAGACTAAAGACTGAAAAGAAAACTATCCTCTAGGAATGGCATAATGGCTTTTCTTATTTTGTTAACATTGGGAAAACAAATGGCTATAGAAAAAGCTTTGATCAAGTATTTTACAGAAAAATGCCTGTTAATGATTCTAAAAAAAGCACATATGTTCAATTTAAAATAAAATTATTCATCTATAATACCTGTAATTCAAAAGAAAAAAAAAAAAAGAACAAAGAGCAGTTCAGATAATTTTTCTGTTTTGCTTGATGTGTCTTATCAATCAGCACATGCTATGCTAGTAGCCTGGCACAAAACAAGAGCTCTCAGTTGTGAAAGTCATACAAATAACCAATACACCATAATACTCCACAATATTCTCCTGCACTACTGAATTATCTTGAAGCATCAAGACTTAAAACACTTAATTTTACCGCTCTTATCAACTAGAATAAAAAAGTCTATCAAATTAATTAACATTACCGATGATAATAAAAACCCACAGAATCACAGAATCACAGAATCACCTGGGTTGGAAGGGACCTCAAGGATCATGTAGTTCCAACCCCCCTGCCTAGCAGGGCCACCAAACATACACATTCAGATCAGGTTGCCCAGGACCCTGTCCAACCTGGCCTTGAACACGTCCAAGGACGGGGCATCCACAACCTCCCTGGGCAGCCCGTTCCAGGGCCTAACTACTCTCCTTGTGAAGAACTTCCCCCTAACATCCAACCTAAATCTTTCCTCCTTCAACTTGGATCCATTTCCCCTAGTCCTGCTATTGTCAGCCCTTCTGAAGAGTTTACTCCCCTCCTGGGTGTAGGTTCCCTTCAGGTATTGATAGGCTGCAATGAGGTCACCCCGCAGCCTTCTCTTCTCCAGGCTGAACAAGCCCAATTCCCTCAGCCTGTCCTCATAGGGGAGGTGCTCCAGCCCCCTGATCATCTTAGTCGCCCTCCTCTGGGCAAAAAAGTTTATTTCTGATAAAAAAGGAAGTTGCCATTGAATAACTGTGTCGGAGTTGAACAGCATTTCTCAGGTTTTACTAAAATGTACTGTTGGACATGAGGATCTACTCTTTATCTGTTACTGCCTGGCAGACGTGTGGTCAATAATTTCTACCTAACGTGTGGTTTTGTTGGTCTATGTAACACAGAGCTTCACGGTATTTTAAGTATGATATGGTCTGAATCTAGAGTATTTTTCCTTCAAGAGTATGTAATTATGGAGCATGATTAAATTGATTTTTAATTTCTTACAAAACTCATAAAATCAACAAGCATAAAAATGATATTACATCAGCATTTTTTCTTTGTAACCTCTGCCTTCTCTATTTTCTCCCAGTACAAATCTACATGTACGCAAAAATGTTACTTTGTTCCTAGGTTAAAAAGTATTTTTATTAAGAGATGAGTATTTTACGAATGCTTGAACTCCATTACATACTATTGGTATGAAATATAATCATTGCTTAACAAAAATTCCCCAGATTCTTATGCAGCTGATCTACTTTTCTAAAAACAGTGTGCCAACAGATTCAGATGAACAGAACTTTCTTATCACCATTGGCAGACTTTCATTCACAGCACATGATCAGAAAAAAGGAACTATATTATAATTGTGTCAAATTGTACTTTATACTAACTCACCCTCTTCATTCTATTCATTCTGTTGCCAAAAAAAAAAAAAAAAAAGCATAAATCTGTATTGTGCTGTTCTGATCTTTCAGCTCAGTTTCTTAAAAAAAAAAAAAAAAAGAAAAAGTGATACAGTAGAAAATGAAGGATTAATTTGCCATTGCCTGATTAGCTCCAAAATTACCTATATAAAAATAGAATTCAGATCTACAGGGCTGCTCTGAAAGTAATGCTTGTTATTTTACTATGTTTTCTTACAACATCAGAGGCAGATATTGTTGGTGTGGCAGTAGAGGATGACCCATACCACCAATATTCCATTTTAATTTGTTTTCATGTGACAGATGCCACAGAGGGGCAGTCTGACAGAACTGTGTCTGACATGGAGATGCATATGAAGCAAAGGGATGGAATTCCTCATAGTAAATCTAAATAATGTGTTTTATGTTCAAAACATTTTAACATAATTTTATATTTTAGATATTGCTTCCCAAAATAGGAATGCACGGGAATTTTAAAGGAGATTTTTAAGTTTTGTAAATGCAGTCATTTTGATACAACAGTTTTCTGGATTATTTTTCTACCTCATTTTTATACACAGCTAGAACTTCAAACAGCTTTATGAATACTGACCACATAGATATTGGTTGAAGGAGCAAGAGCTATCTTGTGTTCAGACTAAGACTGTAAATATGGCGCACACAGTACTTCAGGTATCCCAAAAGACTACTTTCTCATTCCAGTTTTTTCAGCATTAATTGTCAGTATTAAGCAAATATTCCAAGCTTCCGGCTTGTTTCAAGCTTATTTCAGCAGTCAAGAAAACCTCCTGGAATTCCCTAGGGGGAAAAAAAAAAAAAGAAAAAAAAGAAAAAAAAAAAAAAAGCAGCAGACAAGATAGTAAATTACTTCAGAGCAATTGTCCCCTGGAACTGAAGGGATATGAATAGGAATAAAGATATCACACTGCTTCCCTCTTCTTCATATACTCTTCATTTTATAAAACAATTGGACCTAACTGTTTTTAATGCTCTGTTTCCTTTTTTTGGCTACTGCTGAACAGGAAACAATTCACTTTTGTCCACATATTTTTCTCATTTCAAGGCATAAAATGTAGAGTCCATCCCTTTGAATTTATTAATTCATCCACTGCAGATGGCTTTTGCCTTTTCGGTTTTCATTTGACTGCTTCCTTCTCCTTTTTCATCTCTCCTTATGCTTCCCCAGTTTCCAAAGGTGACATATACACATGCTCAAATCTCATGAAGTAATGTCTAAATCTGCTGTAAATCACATAAGCCCTTCATGAGTCACATGTACCAGAAATTTTAATTCAACAGGTTAAATGTCACCTACAATACACAGAATATATTTTCAACAAGCTAAATATTCAAAGATGATATAGTGTTGTCCCTATAAACTACTACTCCTCAGAGAAAAATGTATAAAATTAAAGCTATAAGCGCTGGAGTTAAATTGTTTAATTTGCACATACAAAGACTAAAAATGATTAAATATTAGTACGTTAACACTTCGAGGGGCTTCTTAGGTATGTTACAGTTCCTGAGCTTCCTTCTTGTTCAGTCTAAAATAGGATTTATAAGTTTTTACTAGAATTTAGATGGGTTTAAAATCTCTACATATAAGCTGTACTTTTACTGATTCATTCCATGAATTTCCTGTTGAATTTTTATGTGACACTTGATCTCCCCTGTTCTGATCGGATAATGTAAATTTCCAATGGAGATTAAACACAAATGAGTATGAAATTGATTTATTATAATAAATGAAATTGAGGTCTGAGGTCCTTCTTCTCTTTTCTTTTTTACCCCCACCCACACTAAGACTGCCTGATGAATGTTTTTTCTAATGGTAGTATTTTCCAAAGAAAATTTAGAAAATTACACATTGGAAGTTACATTAAACATTGTTCCAAACTTGTTTAATTTCATATGCAAAAGATGATTGTTTGAATAGTTTAACTTCTATAATTACATTGTTGTGGAGCCAACATATTCTGACAAGATTCTTTCAGAATTCAAACTCGTTATCAATTTAATAGAGAAACTGGTAAAAAACATCTGTCAAAATCTTGTGTCACATCTCTACACTGAAATACTTATTCTAAACATGTTGTGCAGAGTACCATTGTAAATGTAGGTGTAGAATTTTTTTTTCCCACTATCACTGCGAAAAATGCAGCCTTCTTGTCACAAAGAGGTGGTTCATCCACAAAACATTAGGCTTAGCTTCACATTCTGAAACAATTCAAAAGAATTAAAGGTCCTTGATATACACACAAAAGTTGACTCTGCAGATACCGTGCTTCTATACAATCAAAGCTATTTTCTCTGCCTGGATTTATGCATCACAGAAATTTAGAAAACTGTGTTTTGTTTTTGCCTACAGAACAACGTTGAATGGTGAGCTACTGACAGCTGCGTCATTCCATCTCAGCTGATTAAAGACCATATCTAGAATGGCAAGAAAATTCAGTAACTGCATCATACTGCTTTTGTTTCCCAGAGTGAAAAAATCTTCTCAGCACGTATTCTGCCACCAATGCAGATGCACGTGTAGATGAGATGATGCACCCTGAAACAATTGCTAGTATTTATGCCTCTAACAGTCACAACACATTTTCTACAATACTCAGAAATACTATACTTTTGTCAAAGATGTTTAAGCAGAAATTCCATCAATTCCACAGGATTCAGCATCCACTTTACCTTAAGTGAACAATAGGAAACTGTCATAAGGACTGATGGTCTTCTAACTTGTTGCATTAGAAGATGTTACAGGTTTCTGAGCTCAAGAACATCAGTGGATAGACCCACAAACACAAGCTATTCATATATAAACAGTGTACTCAGTCCCTGTTGTAATTTTAGGTGGAGTTTACATGTTATTTCCAAGAAAACAGGAAGAGATACTGCTTTCATGGAGAGCCAACCTGTGAAATTGGTACTTGCCTTAGCCAATTTATTTTTTCTCTTGACTGAATTCCATTAACTTGATCACTAATAGACCACTGACAGACAAAGATCACACAGTTTCTATCCCTTTGAATGCTACCTACAGAAATTTGAAAAAGCTGCATTACTATCATAAAGTGCAGTGGCTTTTGATGAAAAATAATATGGCAAATTTACTTCTGCAGCTAAGTCCCTTGTCTACTGTTCGAACAAGAAAATGCTGTTTGGAAATGTTAAGTTTTAAAGAGCAGCTCATGCAGTGGGCACAGTATTTATGCTTCTTGGAACAAAGTGTTGGAATCAATACTGTTATTTCTAAATGCAAAAGGCTTGTATTGAAAGAGAGATGAGAATGCAAGTACAACCCCCCCAGAATACACTCCTTAATCTCCTTGCTGGTTTTTAAAAGAGTTTCAGATTCTCTCTTGTAACATTCACCAAAGTTAGGCCAGAAGAAGTCAAAGTAATTTAGATCCAATCTCTTTTCAAAAATGAAATGAACAGAAGTTTTATTAAAAGGAAATGAAGAGGAAATTGAACTTTCATATTTCATGGTGCAATTGTGATGACAGAAAACAATATTCGTCGACAGAAGTTTAGAAGATATTTATACGTCTGCGCTGCCACACAGGGGGAGTTGTGTCACAATAGAGGGCAGGTAATTTTTAAAAATATAATGGTGCTGCAAGTCAGATTACTTGATGGCTATTCCAATCAAGTTCAGAATATAAAACTTTCCACATTCTTATGGTCAAGAATGAGAAACAAATTGAAATGTGTAAAATATGAGGGGTTTTCACTAGAGATGCTTATGGGTAATGCAAATTTCATCTGTATAAAAGCTGCACAGTGCTGTATTATATGCTGTGTAAAATTAAATCGCTTAAACTGAAATCGTAAGTCTATGGAAGACAGGTAATATAATGGAAATGTCATAATTCTGCTGTGCTGAACAGCTAGGATGAAGAGAAGAAAATGTAGAGATACAGGTGTGAATTACAGTGTGTCACCACGGAAGAAAAAAAGAGAGATTTGCGTTTAGCCTTAAAATCTAATGATTCCATAGCTAATCCAACTGTAAGGAAAGCAATGGCTTGAGATGACTCATGTTCGGAGGCTTCTCCTTGTGGGTGAAAGCTCCATACTCTTCTCTGACTGAGCACACAGTTAAGTCATCTGTAGTTTATATACACTCTATAAGATACTGCTGCTAGTAATCCTTGTACCCTACAGTGGATACTTAGGCACAAATTTTCCAAAATGCCCAGTAATTTCAATCCCTACCACTTCAGGCTACTGACTGAAGTATTTTTCAGAAGCAGTACAAGGTAGGTGACTGGGAAAAAGGGATCTGCATGACTCAGTCTGGACCACTTCAAAATAAACATCTGAGAAGACTGTCATCCTACATATAAATGTAAGCCACGGTTTTTTCCTCCTACTTCAAAGTGGCACAGCCAAAGAATGCTTACATACAACAGGAGAAAGGGATGATATTTCATTCTCCCACTTTTTTTTTTTTTTTTTTTAATGCACTTGTAGGTAAAGCACTTACCTTAAATAAGTGTTTTAATTTTCCTACTGGGGGGGGGGGGGAAAGAAAGAAGTTCAAAGATAAAGTTTTCCACAGACTTAATACTTCAATATTGTCTAATAAAGGTTAAAAATATTTTTTAATGAGAGAAAAGAGAAACCTATTCTATGACTCACACAATTCAGTAGAAAATACTGCACTCTCTAATGCACATGTATAACACCATTACAGCTGACAGAAAGAATCTATATGCAATCAAGTTTTAGCATTGCAAACAGATCTCACTACTTAAATTTATAGTGTGCACCTTGAAAAAGCTTTTTATAGATATCATAATGTTTTCCAAATACATGCAATATTTCTAATACGGTTGTGTTGAAAAGAAATAGCTATCTACTTCATAACTGTTTCAATTCTTATAGTAGTTAGGGGTATCTGACAGTCAATGGAGAATAACATCAAGAAAGAACTATATTTTTCAGCAGTTGTTAGTCATGAAGTTACAGATAAAATGCCACATGTCAGTATAAGTATTCCTTGACACAGTCATGGGTTAATTACCTTTTATGATCACTATGAAAATGCTGGAAACTAATGCATCAGCTGTTACACTGATTTGTCCATTTAACAGGTGATTCTGATTAATAGAGAACATGAAGAATCGCATCAAAAACTGACACTCAAGACTTCCAGAGCAGGCCATATAAGCAGATCAGAACATCATCACAGCTGAAAATAACCAGATTGACATAAATTAATAAAAATACTTTTAAAGATCATGTGGAAAGGAAATTAACTTGGAGAAGTGGAAGCACTTCTATAGCAAATTATTTTGAAACAAATGACAAGAGTGGGAACAGACTTTCAAATTCTTTCAAATGAGGAAGAAAATTGTATGCAGCATACTCAGACATTTTAAAACCATCAGACATAATTTGTCAATTGCAGTTTTCTGAGGACTCTGAAAATTTTTCACAAAAGAATAGATTTCCACCTACTGCTCTGAACTGTGAGCACAGCCAGGTTAAAAGAATATTTTTCACATTTGATTTCATTTGCACATGAGAATCCTGCATGTTCAGATTGAGTTTATTTAGCAATGAACTTTATTTTCCCATTGAATCTTTAAGCAATGTTATCTTAAATATAGCATTTATAGAAGTATAGAATGGAATTTCAGGTGATATGGGAATTTTGACCAGAGTGAGGATAATTGAGTGATTGTCCCGCAGTGTTTGGACAGTGAACATTATATAGCTTCTGTAAAAGGACAGGGCTCCTTATTAAGCTCTTTTTCATGCAAAGCTTGCAAAATACTCAGGTACCTACACTCAGGGTCAGGAAGTAAAAATAAAAACATACAGAAGATTTAACAAGGATTTAAAAATTCCCTACATTATTAAAAAAGAGACCACATTCTAAATCCCTCTAATATGTAATTAATTCCAAGCATGAGGAATGCCTTTAACATCTCAGTCAAGGTTTTTCTATTTGTAAATTATGAGGTGTTCAGCACTCTCAGGGGATTGAGCTTTTAATCACACAGATGTCCATTATGAATTCTCTGTTTGCTTAGTAGTACAATAGGAGAACTCACAGCATCTTTGTGCTATAATAAATCTGCAAGCTCAGACAGAATGCTCATGATTGCCTTCTAAATTCTTTCAAGGTCATTCTACGTGATTTCATGCTACATAACATCCTTTCTCAGTCCATTTCACACTGAGAAAAGATCATGATAAACATTGATTTTTCCCTGCTGGTATACCTGAATTCCACCATGTTCCTCCCCCCCCACACCCTGGTACACCATTTTCAACTCGTTTGATTCTAAGCTGCTGTGTAGACACCTTAAAATTCAAAAAACAATTAGGATAAGGGAAAAGAAGCTGCATTTGAAGAACGAACTGGAAGAAAAAAAAAAAAAAAAAAAAAAAAAAAAAGCAGTTACTTCTAGCAGGAAAACTGGTAATGGAAATAGGTTTTAAAAAAATAAAATAAAAGAACTCCACAAAACTACATACCAACAATCCAGGAGTGGTATCAATAAAAGATGTGGGGTAAAAAAATTATCTGAACAAGGCGTAACTTAAAATACGCTTGAAATCTGTGTTTTGCAAATGCACATAGAAACGTACTTCAAGTCATTGCAGACTGTAAATGTTAAAACAGGAGGTGAAAATTTAGTCCCAGAGTTTGACATGTCTGGGTTAGGACACGTCCTTCACAAATTATTCACCATCAGAAAAAAGATACAAATGCCTGCAAGAGCATATTCTCAGAACTAGATGTGGTTCCTCAAGCGTTCTGGCATGAAAGGAGTGCAGAAGGTGCTAATAATACTTTTCTCATGAGGAAAAAAAGAGGATTCCTAAAAGAAATATTCACGGGCACAGGCAAAAATTAGCCATCTGATTTCTACTGAATCTTATTGCCTCAGGTGACTCATTATCTCAATGACTTTTGTCTGTGCAGAGATTTAAGATTAATGGATTAAATTCTCAAAATTCTTAGTGAATTTATTAGCTAATATGATACTGGTTTGCAATTTGATTAAAAATAGTTGAGAGCCCGTTATAAAGACCAGAGTTACCTTTGTGTAGCCTCAATAACCCTTACTGACTGCTTAGGTCATACAGGTACAGCATCAGTTCTTTAGAAGTGCCTCTCATGTTGGCTGTGATTTAACAGATTATTTTCAGTTGGTGCTACCAAAATTCTGGAGTTTTCTTCCTTTCTATCTAGAAATCCTGTTTGGGTAGAATTTAAATTCCTTAAAATGCTACTCTGTATACTGTGCAGTATATCTGCTTTCTAAGCAAACAGCCGTGAATACAACTGCTGTTAATCAAGCAAGATACTAATTTGGTTTGCAATGATGTGCCATAGCAATTAATATTTATCCTTAGAGCTTATCTCATGATTTGACTGTACACAAACAACAGTACAAGGCTGTGTCCCCTTCAACTGTGATAAATTTTCTATTGATTTCCAAAACATACCAACAAACAAAACACTCTTTTTAAAGAGCTTTAAGCTGAAAACAGCACACAGAGCAGACAGATGTGGGGCTTCAATATGACAAATTTATACAGTGACAACAAGAAATCCTAACTCTGCCAGCCACATGCTAAAATTCAGCCCAATGCATCACACGCTAAAATCTCAGAGGGCTTCTGGGTGCTGAGAGCATGCTCAATGAGTTGATGTGTGCAAAGAGAGCTGGTGTGTCCCAGTACAGCAGCATGAATTGAGGGATGGCCCCATTGTAGGTAATTCAAGACCAGGCTGGGTGGGGCCCTAAGCAGACTGATCTAGTGGGGGGCAACACAGTCACAGGAGGCTGGCGCTCAATGATCTTTCAAGGTCTCTTCCAACCATAGCCATTTGATGATTCTATGAATTTGGCTTCAGCAATGATAGTTCATCCATGATTTCTCTTGTCTGGATAATCCAGGAAATCCTTAATTATACTCACACTAACTTCAATTAAAAAAAACAAAAACAAAAACAAATCAAAACAAAAAACCAACAAAAAAAAACAATGCTAACAAAAAAATAAATAATAATAATAAAAAAATTGCTTTGTCAGAGAGTTGTTTTTCATATTTTAAACTAGATTTAAACAAAAAAAAACAAAAACAAATAAACAAACAAAAAAATCCAAGCAGAGTTACAAGACAGGGAGGGGTAACATGAAAGCAGATCATCTAACAAGCATGTCCCACTTTGTTATTTTAAGACCTTCTGGACCCAATTTTTAAAACATAAATGCTTGAATTAAAACTGTGATTGAAAACAGCAGCAGTACACATATGGACCAAGTTATCAAAATACTTGTATACTGTTGGAAATAATAAAATAATTTCTACTAGTCATTAATGTGACACATTCTTTATTGGGAATATCCACTAGTCCTGCTGGGGTTAAAGCAGTACTTACAAGATTTGCAAGACAAACAAATCTATGGAATGATTAGAGATCACAATTACAGGATAAATGCCATCTCTGAAAATTTCAGTAAAAAGGATTCCCTTTTTAGTTACTCCTTTGACATTTGCTTTTTTGTTGTTCTTGAGTTTAATTTCAGGAAGAGTGAATGCTTTGCAAGTGCAGCATTCAGCAGGTTCCCTTTTCCAAGTTTTTTTAGCTTCCCTGACGTGGAATTATGGGACAGACTTCTGCTTCAGTAGAAATAAAAGGGGAGGGAAGCATAATATTGTATGTGGACAAATCTACACCAATAACTTCATCAATCTGCATTATAAATCAATATTAGAAACAGACTCTGTTTTGACAGAGATACTTTAAACAGCTCTATGCTAAAGTTTAGCATCAGAATATGTATATTCTGAGATAAAGTTCTGCATACATGAACAATGAACACTATTCTGTTTAGAACCTGAGCTTTCATTCTCAATTAAGTCTTCAGATGTGTCAATTGTCTTAACCTGATTTACACTTTGGCACTGCTACTGATGCATGCAGAATTACCATCAATTTACACACTGATGCTTTAACTTTTTTTCCCCCAGCTCTGAAACAGTAGGGTCTGGGCAGGTATATAATTCATATTGTCAAATTTTATGCATCAGAGGGCAAATACTGGTGGCCTCATGAGGGAGTAAAAATGGGGTTTGCAAACTTAAGACCTATCCTAACAATCCTAAACTATCCTTTAGTTGAGTTAAATCTTTCATAATCGTATGAATTTCCAGAAGTTTTAAGGGCTAAAAAAATTTAAATGGCTCCCAGGAGAATTAATTGAAGCAATAGCAAGTAATAAGACCATCACCCCCAGGGAAATTCAGCAAGTTTTTGGTGTTCAGGGATTTAACAGGTCCCTATATCAAGCAGACAAAGAATAGGATGTAATTTTCCAAAGCTGCAGTAAAATTCCAAGTGAAAACTCAACAATATTAAAAAACATGAAGCAGTTCTTGTGCCAGAGAAGCAGGTATCTCTTCAAATAGCTTTGAGAAATCAAGTTTAAAAAAAAAAATGTGCTTCCACAGGCCATCCTTTGCCATGAATAGATGCAACACTCACATCACTCGGTCATTTATACCAACTGTCTTTGAGATAAGCAACTTGAGCAATTTTCATACAACTTTGATGATATATGAGTGCAATTGGAAATACACCAATGCTTTTTGCAATTATTTTGTATTCTTCTTTGGTATAACCTGTGTTCCTTTCTCCTTCTAAGACTGCTCTCCCAGGTGCTTATCAGAATACACTCTACGATTTGAAACATTCACTTCCTTCACTTATCTTTGAAATAAACATCTGTGATTTTCTCTCTACAGTGACCAGTATAAAGAGCAGATCATGCTGGCACTATGACAACAGAAAAATGAATATTAGTACTAATACATCTCAGTTATATATGAGGGAATGTTGTCTAGCATCAACATGGGTGCAACAACACATACGATAAACAACAAACACTCACTGTAGGCAACAAATGCTCATGGCCAGGCATCTATATTATCGTTACTGAAGAAAAAAATTTTGCAGTAATACAGTGAAGTTTCCTGTAACTGCCAAGGGTTTTCTAATTTCTACAGAAAGGAACATGCAGGGCAAGAAATCTGTATCTATAATTACTCTTCAAACCAGATAAAGTTTAGGGATACTGACGTCAGGCAAAAAGATACAGTGTAAAAATGTCTGGCTGTAAAATGACCATCTACGTTTATAGCAATGCTTGGTTTTGTGGGTAGCAG